AGTGGTTATATGAATAATATGAGATCCCTTTGTCTGGTATGGATACTTCTGTATATGGTACGTTGTACGTTGCATAATATATGTGGAATACCAAGAATGGTGAGTTATGTGTTTTGAAGTAATTATGTGAGTCATTGGAATAAGAATTTCTAAGGAAGAAATCGGTTTGAATATGTCTGTTAGCTATGTTGTTAGGCGTTTATGTGTTTATTATGCTAAGCGCAAGTTCGATCTAACATGGTTATATTATTGGAGTTGAATAATTTGTCATTTATGGTATTGCATGGTCAAGTATATAGGGACGTCAGAATCTTAATATGGTTATCGGTCGAGTAGACACGGGAATACGAGGGGCCAGTATTCCAACTACGGTACTATAGACTAGAGTGGGTAGCTCCCCTCAAAACAGGCTCAGAATATCGACGTCTATTACCGATAACCATGTTATGAATCTGCTAGGGATACCGTCACATTATAGTAATTGTATTGACATAAGTATGAGTATGTTTATTTATACGTTTTGAATTGTTTATATGATTTGTCATTTATGATATTGCATGGTCAGTATAGGAAGTCAGAATCTTAAATGGCTATCGGTCGAGTAGACACGGAAATACGGAGGGGCCGGTATTCCAACTACGGTACTATAGACTATAGAGTGGATAGCTTCCATTAATAAACGGGCTCAGAATATCGACGTCTATTACCGATAACCATGTTATGAATCTGATAGGTATCCCGTCATATTGCATTTATGTGTTATATTTGTTAATACAGACTATAGGGACTTGATGTCTATATGTACTACAGCTAAGTGGTCGTTGCATCCCCATGTTAATAAACCATTTTGTTTACGTGAGTACACCTTGTGAGTATACGTTAAGCAGGGGAAACTCGTCGCCCATGTCAAGGTTGAGGTTCTCGAAGCTGTTATGGAAACTGGTGGAGCGGAGTTCGAGGAATCACGAGCTTTTATACCGACCGACTATTTTCAAAGATTATATCAGTCACTTTCTCGTTAAGTGTTTTAACTTGAGAAGTTTATAGTTGTATTTATAATGTACTCTCCTTAGGAATCTAGTCTATTAAACCGGGGTGTATGTAAAATAAAGTTATTTTGTGTTCCGCTGTATTACAAGTATTGCTTTAAAACCCCGTCTATGTTGAAGTAGCACTCTTTATGAAAATTATATCTTTCAAATGTGGGTTATGTTTTGAAGAAAGAAAAATGCTTTGACGATTTCCAAACTTATTTTCTAAAGGATCAAATAGGATCCGAAGGTTTTAATAAAGTCCATTTTTCTAAAAACTATTCTTAATTATATAAACGACATGGAGGGTGTTACAAATTATATTTACAAGGGAATTTTCCTATTTTGCTGCAAAGGGCAAATCAGCCAAAAATATTAGTAGGGGGTTTAGAAAAATAGGACTTATGACTTGGACTAGGACCTATATAATCTAGAGTGAGGGT